GCGAAAAAGATAATCAACTCTTTCGAACCGAAGGTATTCGACGATGTTGGATTGTTCAGAGCAGTGACGAGGTCATGCTTGACCTCAAAAAGAATAAAGCCTCTCTTAGAGGTCTGGGCCCGCATACAGTTGATTTCACTACTATGTATACTAATCTCCCTCGTCAATGAATTCTTGACAATGTTGCTAATGCCGTTGATGAGGCGCATGCCTACACTCTTGCACAGGTACGGCAGCATACACAGACACGCTCATCGGGTGTTGCTCTCCGTATGCTGGTCCGTGGACCCCGTGCAGGAGAATGGACTACGGATACGGGACCTGACACTCTTTCTGTTTCTGACATTGTTCAACATCTTCGGTTTATTGTTACAAATACATATTTGTATACAGCGGATGGCCTTGTTCGTCATCAAGATGTCGGTATCCCTATGGGCACAAACGCTGGTCCTGAGATTGCCAACCTTACACTCTATTGGGATGAGGCGCAGTACGTGGACAACCTGCAGCGTGTGGATCCCTCTGCTGCTCGCCGATATGCTTTTACATATCGGTTCATTGATGATGTTCGTACCTTTGATTGTCTGCCACCATCGTCAGCCCATTATGGTCTTGAATGGAAGGAGACCACTGCGGCAGATGGCTCGTGCACCTTCTTAGGTGCGAAACTGCAGACACGAGCAGACGGATCTCTCAGATTGAGTGTGTTTGATAAGACCGTTGCATGGGATTTTCCTGTTATACGATATCCTAGTGCAACGTCRAACATTCCATCTCATCAGCCTGCAGGTGTGYTCACTGGCCAGCTTACGCGGTTTGAGCAGRTTTGTGACAATTGGCGTGATTTCAAAACGGYAGCAACCATGCTTGTCCGCCGATTGCTCTCGCGTGGTCATGCTCCGTCAACACTGGCCCGTGGATGGACTTGTTACATTCGAGCTCGCCAGCGTCGACATCCAATACATGTAACTCGCCTTACACAATGGTTTCGACGTATGCTTCGCTGGTCCGTGCACCATCCTCTTCCACCCTCTCC